CAGCATTGCCGTGGCCCCAAAAATGTTTAGCTCCGGCGCTGCTCGTCACGTGGATAGGGAGGTCGTGCGCGGGACGTGGCCCGGTTGTTGTCTCCAACATTCGCCTGGTTGCGGTCGGAGCAGCCGACTGCTAAATTTCTTTTCTCAGCAGCTCTCTGATCATTCAACCCAGCTATGAAGCTATTGTCGAAAATCCTGCCACCGTCAGGACTCGAACATCCCGGTCAGAATCGCTGCAGTGGCAAAACTGTTGCTCTGAGATTGCCCGTGCACGCACTCTGTCGTTGCTATCACCTGCAATTTCAGTCGATAGAATTATCAATCACTACCCACGTTTCCACTCCGTGTATGAGTCATACATTCAATACGTTACTGACGAGACAACCTAAAAAAATCCCTAATACTACAGACATATGTTCAAAACTGCCACTATTTATTATGCTATCTCTTTGATATCTATCAATATCAGTTACTATCTATCAACCTATCAATAACTATTTGTAGCAGTTTTTGTTAATGATATGAAATTATCTAATAAACGGCCGAAACGAAAATAATCCAATACACGGCCGAAACGTTGACAGAAGGAACAGAATAACTTCACTTTTTACCCCAACAGAAAATCGCTGCATCATCTTTCCTAAAAGGTGGCCCTTTCGACTTCGATTTGGGATTCGAATTGACGATAATGCTATATAACTTTAATATCGAAGTTTTTACTTCGAGAGAATTGGGTCTTAGAGAGAAAAGCTTACGCATAGGCACTGAATAGGCCTCCCGAAATAATACTCGGAATGCAGTTAGATAGAGGCAAAAGGATCTACATTTCTAATTGCACGTCGCGAAATTGAAATACGCTAATCGTTTCGTTAGAAACCCACGAATACGAGGGAAATACAAAAACCATGAGAGAGTTTCGATTTTGACTGAAAATTTAAACATTTGATTGTGTTATTCCTCCTACTCTCATTGCGCGCGAGCCGTCTGAACTCTCAGTCAGTGCGTCACTGCTTACGACACACATGACGTCATACGATAGCCGCCATTCAATATTTGCTATTCAGGTGTTGCGTCAAGGGAGAGCCACTGGTTTTACACTCTTTGTATGTAAATAACTTCTGTGCTGTGTATTTACCACTCTACGTTATTGCAGTATTCGTGAAACCGGTGTTGTTAAATTATTTAATTTACTGCGGAAATGAGAGAATTGTATTTCTTGTATTTCAGCAGTACGTGCGATAGTTTTGGGGGAACCATTTTGTGCGAATTTACTGAGCAGCATATTCGCCTCTGGGAGAGGAGAGTAAGCGACGCCCACCTTGTGAGGCTGGAAGAAGAAGACCGCCATCCACAGATAGAGCGGCAGCAGCGAGAGGACGTAGGGCAGACAGCCTGCGTGGCGCGGTTTGGACGGCACCAAGCCCCACACCAGAATCTGCGCAGATATTACACTTCCATTCAGTTCTGTTTCAAGGGCGATTGCAATACCTTTTGGAATATTGTTCTAAATTGTAGGTGACTAAATCGGGTGCATGTTAAAATGAGGGTCGCCGGGTCCACGAGCCCGGACCCACGCACAAAGACCGTTTCGTACCCCCCTAATCCATCCGTGTTGACTTACGAACGGTTTAGGTTTGGGGAACTTTCGAAAATCACAGGTCGTCAGTTATGGAATTATATTATTTTCGGTGAGCATTGTTTACAATGCGAGAGGATGACATAAAGAGGGATATATAAAGAGCAAAGTTTTAATATAATATACTATGTACCGTTTTCACCAACATTGTATGTAACTTCAAATAAACTTGTAATCATGAATCAATCAAACTTATAACAATGATTCGGAATTACTTCAATGTAGGGGGAAAACTGAAAGGTTTAACGTTAGCATTTCTACGGGCAGGACCATGGGAAACTGTATGACAAGGACTGATTAGGGGGGAGGGGAATGTAGTTGAAAATGAGAAACTGAATATTAGTTGGAATGAAGTCTGATGTGAGGTTGGAAGAAAAGTTGGATACCATATCAAATAATGTAACTCTTTTAGACCCTCTGGCTACAATTGCGTACATTAATTTACTGTGTCTTAGCGCCAACGTAAATATTTTACCTCAATGCAAACCTCATCTATACACAGATTAAAACAGGAAGTCCTGTCAAGGTCACGAGTTGGCAGGAGGGAGGGGGCACTGTCATCAATTCGCGAGCATCATAACGACTTAAATTTTTAGTAATGAAGCTCCCGTTTCGATGACAATATCCCCCTCTTTTCAGCTCGTGACCTTTAGAAAGACTTCGTGTTTTAATCGCAGTTTAGAGTGAGTGTTTAATCTTTCCATCATGCACAAGTGCTGCCATCTGTTACGCAACATGACTGACATTTTTCGTACTTTACGTGTGTTAGCATCGCCAAGGCCAAGAAACGCTCCACGGCTAGCTGCCGTTTAATGTTACTCTTACCCGGGAAGTTTCTTCATCGGTGCAATGCCGTCGAAACTCCACTGATGGACAAAGTCCACAGTTAATATTGACTGCCTCAGACCAGAATGAATCTACATCAATGTTCAATGTTGAATTGAATTATTGCCTTATTTTACGTGGCGAGACTAAGGCCATAAGGCCCGCTCTTCCGTCTGACCACGCAAATTTCACCCACTAGCGGAGAAATGCGGTATTTCTTGGGCGTTGAAACAGGCGATTTGAATTTGGTTCATTTAGGCTTGAGGATCTTTTACATTCAGTAAATCTATTAACATGGGGCAGCCGGCGTTACTTCCCATCCGAAGAAAAGCGTACGAAAGATTTTTTCGCCCTAAAAATCCAGGGCTTCGATTGGGTTGGAACCCGCCAACTTGGCTACGCTAGTAGTCCCATACATCAATTTTGCTGTTTGTCCGCTTCTGAAGGGCCGAACATAAGGCGAAACTGATCCTAGTGATCGCGAATAATTGCTGGTCCTCCACTCACTCACTGTGAGTCACTCGGGTTTGTCTTCACTGTTTATCACTGCACTGGTGAACTAATTTCGCCACAACAGTGGAATTTTCAAACTTGGCTTACACCAGTCCAGCCCTAGTGCTATAGTTCACACCTGGATAGGTGACGGCAGTGAAATGTAGTTAAACCACACCCTTTTAGTGTTTGCGTTTCCACCTTATTGTCTTATTAAATAGGCAATCAGTCTATGACATTGTCTTGAACATTGCTTGATGTGGACTATTTAGCCTGACGCATTCAATATTAACTGCAGAATTTGTGTCCGTCAGTAGAGTTGCGATGGATTGCACCAAGGACGAGACTTACCGGAAAAGAGTACCACTTGACGGCAGCTCCGTGAAGCACTTGTCAATATTGATGATGGTTTTTCATTAACTGAAATCTGTTCTAAAAATCGTTCTTTCCAAAACGTCTTGTGAATTTTTTTTAAAATGTAGGAGTAGTTAGACAAAATTTTGCAATTTTCAAAATTACAAATTCGAATTTTCCGCGCTCCATTATCTAGCCTCAGTCAATAGCAGCTTGGAATACAACGCAAAGGTTAGTTGGAAATTCTGCGAGTTCCTTCTCATAGTTGGGAAATTATATAGCTTTAATTGTCGAATTTGTGCTGATATATTAGCTTTAAAAGAATTCGTTTTCACAACTAATGTTTTGCGATGTATAAGGAGTTTTACAAACTCTTATAACTGACATATGTTCATATGGGCAAAAATGGCGGTGTAATAATATTTCATAACCGTTACTAAGAGTGAAAAAGTACGTGCTGTTTTAGTATCACTCGTTTTAAATTGTATTTAGTCATTTCATTACAATGTAAGGGATCGAATCGTAAACCAATCTAAGTCACTGAAGAAGTAACCAATAGAATAAAAAGGTGCATAAAAGGATCGCGGCCGGAAGAGGTAGCGGCAGAATTAGGTAAACTATGTGGTAAGTTGTCCTTTGCCGCCACATATTCATTGCAAGAAAACGAAGTTCGATTAAAATATCTGTTTGTGTGATCAGTCAGTGTTGAAAACTGTACTATGCTAACACAACCCACATAGAATTAGAGTATTATGTAATTTTCCTTTCACTTACCAAAAGAAAGGGCATTAGTAATGCACCAATAAAGGCAAAATTAAAATTCAGAAAACCATTGATAAAATAAAAAGTCCATGATTCAGTCCCATACAAATCAGGTCCATGGCTGAATATATTATAGTGGATGATGTTGTATGGAGCCACAACCAACCGTCCAAAATAAGATGAGTCCATTTTGACCATCGGAATCTGAAACAAAGGCATACGTATTTACAATTAGAAGAAAGGAGGAATAAAGACACCTCTTCGACACAAATGTCGAAGAGGAGTGCGCTAAGGGTGTGACGGAGGCCCGACCACAGATCTGTCGCAATTTACACCCCGATTACCTCAATTCACAAATGTATTCCAAAAAAGAGATTTTACTTCCTCGCTATTTCTTACGCAGCATAGAGATGCATACTGCGGGGAAAACGGCAAAATTTCGATAGAAAATCTCTTATTGCTGGGTACTGGAAACGAAAATGTGAATACATCTTGTCCCTATATGCTATAGTAAATTACTTCCTCTAACACACTTTGCAGTCAGAATCCTTGTTTTGAAAGTCCTTGATATAGAAAAATCGATTGACGGCATAACATCTGTCCGTCTGTGGCTAGCGGCTACACCGTAAGAAGAATTTTCACCATAATTGTTATTCCCCTATCGATTTAGCCGATGTCGCGGCCCCTTGAACTTGAAACCGATATTTTAATTTTGGTGGTACTTTAAATGATGCGCCTTGGAATTGTCAAGGCAAGTTGAAATCCCTGATTTTTCGAAAATTGCAAAAATTCATACGTTTTTCGGCGTCTTCCTACAACTACATTTTGTAAAGATTTATTTTCTTAATGAACTGTGTTTATTGGAATCAGAACTTCAACCAAAGTCATGATACATTTTTTTTAATATGAGAATTTTTGCTTAATTTTGCGTCAAATATAGGCAATTTTTAAATTTTAAACAATTTTCTCAGAAACATCTGCAATTTTTTTCTTTCATTTTTTCTCGTTTGTAGCAAAGAACTGTATACATAGTGGTGATGGCCCAATTTTCAGCGCACTCTATATTTTTTAGATATTTGAGTGACTGTAATGAAAATTCGAAGTTCGCGCGCTTCGTTTCATGCGTTGGCAGTTCGTAAAATAGTAACAGCGGTTTAAAAATTCTTCGAATTCATCCCATTGTTGTCGGTCGTGATGATTGTACGACGTAGATAGCATTCTTATGAAAAAAAAATATATTGAAGGAAACTAATACATTTAACTTAGGACTAACAACACATATAAATGTAATGAAAACCGGGTTATCTGAAATTATTCTTATTTTCTGTATTATGTGCTGCAAATAGTGTAACAGTCATGTTTTCATGATTGTTTCATTTGTAAAACTAAGGAATGACTATTCATCTACACTATAGGAAAAAAAAGCAGATATGCACAACAGGCGCTTCGTTTGAATTGGCTGAATTAGACTCAAGTTATAACTTAGTTTTTAGTTCGGCGGAAATTACAATATTTCAATGTTAAGTAACTATTTCCGAAAAAGTAAGAAAACGTGTATTGCTGTAACTTCTCAATGTTAAAAGAAACTTCATTGCATCATTTAAAGATTTACAATCGAAAGTTACGCAGAAAAATACCCGAGACACAAGAATCAATATAGTTGAAGGATGTCGAGCAGCAAGATGCAAGAGGAAAGTGCGCGCGGGTCCGGCCCCCCGCACACCGCGAACTTCGCGAGCCGCCACGTGCTCATCGTCGGCGATTGCTAGTTCCCCGGCGCCGCCATTTCTAACGATAGCGACTATTTCGCCGGTACACCACGGCCAGGTTCGGGCGGATACACTGAAATGTAAAGTGACGAGTAATTAAGGGAGCCAGTCACTAGCCCGCTTCACTTCCAAATAAACCGAAAATCTGCCACCGACTGCATTTCCGGGCGCGCTCAGAGCGGCCGTTAATGAACTGCAATGTTAATGAGAGGCATCGCGGCTGCACGGGCAAGGGGCGCAACACATCCTGTCGCCTTTCAGCCAGCCATAATCACATCGTTCTTGTTAAAATCAGAAGCAAGTTAATTTATACCGTCAATTTCCTGCGCATGTAACTGAACAGTGTAATGTACTGTGTTATATTCCAATCAATTCATTGCAGAATTAATGGGATATCTCATATCATTATAAAAATCACTGCTTTTTGAGTTTTGGGATGAAGGAAGGAAAAGGTTGAGAGAGCCCCACCACGCAACAGCACTTCACGCCCGCACCTTTCGTTAGGTCTCGCCCCCGGTGCCAGCCGAGGAACGGACGGAATAGGGCAGGCGGGGAGCAACAGTGCGAACCTGCGACATTCGTCATCGAGAGGACAGGCGCGCCCCCTCAACCGTCTCGCTCACGCACATCGGCTACTTCATACCGCACCGCAACAAGCACCACTTACTAAGACGATGGCGGTCGAAATGCAACTCCACTGGACGAACTTGAAAACCTCCTTCCGGTAGAAGACCATGTCGATGGCGATAGGCACCCTGCGACCATAACACAAAAACACACATTGCGCATGCGCACTTCCACGCGAGGAGCACTTTTCCACAAAGTGGAAAAAAAACAACCAACAACAACAAAATTTCATGGATACTTTCTTGTTACAGATTCAGCACACGTACAATTTCCTATTCAATAAGCACAAGGATCGAGACATTTGCTTCAGAGTCATAGAAATCTGCCGCCTGAAACAGTGGCGGCTCTGGGATTAGGCAACAGGGAGGGCACAAAAAGTTACAGGATCAAACAATGTTAGACATTTGAAAAAATGTTATATTTGGATTGTTTAAGTCGCATAAGTAATATTTACAATCGAATTATCTCCCCGGAAGATAGGTAAACACATGATCTATAAATTAAATTGATTCTTCTGTTGTTACATTCTGTAAATCTATTACTAATTCTTCAAAATTAAATGAGTCGTAACAAAAGTCTTTATAATGAAAACATACAAAGTCCATTCAATCTCTCTTCCGATATGGTATTTCTTAAAAATGTCTATAATCTTTTCAAAGTGAAAACGCTCTCTCAGATTCTTTTATATAGCACATCCAGCTCAGATTTCAGTTTGCTAGCTCACGAACGGAGAGTACTGTGAAACGCGATCAACCTGTTGTAGGGGGAAATCTTCTTGATATTGTTGGAACGTTTTACAAACAAAGAGAGAACACAAGACTTAATTCCCCCTAAAATTACGATGGCCATTTAGCCCTTTGAAATTTCCGTACAAAAGAACGACTGCCATTTCTATCAGATTGTAATTTTTTTTATATCAGGCCGAGGTGGCCCCTAGCGCCTCCCTGCCGCAGCCGCCACTGGCCTGAAAGAAGTACCTGTGTTCGAGAACCACCATGTTATCCGTAACGCTGCCCAGACAGGAATTTGCGAAGAGTAACTCGCAACAAGCGATGCGAGAGAATCAGTACGGGGTTACGGGGGCACGACAATGCTCAACCACACACGAAACAACTGATACCTCTGCTGAAAAGTGTTTCACCATCCACACTACAGTCCGAAACTCGCCACCAATGATTTCTTTCTTTTCCTACGCCTCAAAAATACCTATTAAAAGCGTTGCACTTATCACAGTGACGCAGAGGTGCGGGAGACCGTCAAATACACCTATCACAGGCAGCAGATTTCTATGACACAAGGATTCAAATATTCATCCCTCTGTATAACAAATTATCCATTTTGGTGGTGATTGTGTGGAAAAATAGAATTGGATGTAGAAAAAATAGTACTAAATGTGCTGGATCTGCAACAATGTTTTTTTTAAAATTAAAGTCTTTTTGTTGATGTCCCAAGAAACTTACTTTGTGGATGCCTCTCGTACCTCATCGCGTTCTCAACACAATTCCCCATTACAAAGTGCAGAGGCAAGTCAGGGTAAACATTCAGTGTGGGCACAAATCAAACGGTGGGCATCGATACTCCTACTGCAATGAGTATAATGTATGCAGCGTAAAGGGAATTAACAATTCCAGTAATTTTCATATATTAACGAGCATAACACGTTTTAATAAACATCTAAAAGATCAACTCCCAGAAATAACACCACTCTTAAAAAGCAAGTAATAATCCTACTAATGTATGTATGTTACTTTTTATCCAAATTTACAATCTTTATACATTGGTGTTCGGCCCTCGCGGTTTAGCTCATTGGTCAGCGTGCTCGCTTTTAATGGCGCGAACCTTAGATTCTATTCCCGGTCGGGGAAGGTTATAGCATGCATTTTCCCGGCAATGTTCCTGTATAGGGTGCTGTGTGACGATGAGTAAACTCACTTCTCAGGTTGAGAAGAACAGAGTACGGCGTGGGGAAGTTTTCATTCTAGCCACACGTACCCCCTTAACTATGGCCGCAAGGAAGGGCTGATGCTGGGAGCCCCTTGCCCTTTGGCGGGCAATCGCGCCAAGTACAGACAGATACTTTGGTGCGTGTTCCTGTATGTCATCTGTAATGATTCACTGATATATCGCCACTGTGTTCGTTACTTTGCAGTACTGAGATGTTTTGTCCATAACTTGATTGCGGTACGCGTACAGCAAAGTAACTTTTTCCAGAGAGAAAAAGGGAGGAGCAGCTTTACCCCAAGAGCGTGCCGAAGGACGTACGACAAAGTAACCCTTTCTAGTGACTGGAGAGGAGGAGCCTTACCCAAAGGGCGTGGCGAAGGACCAACGGCAAAGTAACCCTTTCCAACGAAGAGGAGGAGCCTTACCCCAAAGTGCAGCGGAGGACGTACGGCAAAATATCCCTTTCCACTGAAAGACGAGGAGGAGCCTTACCCCAAGAGCGCGGCGAAGGGCCAGCTGAGGAAGGCGGAGAGCGCCGTCGTGAAGACGGCCAGCTCGTACTTGCGGTGAAACCACGCCCCCATGGACACCAGGCACATGTACCTGCAAAGCCACAGCACACTGTTAGCCCACAACGCCCTCCAACATCTCACTCACACACACACATACGTCCAGAGGACTTACATGGAGAACGTTGAAGGTAGAAACGCTGTGCTGGAAATGAACATGCCGGCTCCAAACACCATGAACGCCAAAGTCACGCGTCCAATTTGCACACCGAATTCTCGACAGACACTCCTGTGGAACATTCAAACAAATACACTACAGTTACTACTTTAACTTTATCAAACAATGCTTTCCTCTATGCTATCTATATTAACAATTTTAAAAAGAATAGAAATAAAAATATTTGCAGCCTCCGGCCACTTAAGAAGTGCTTGCGGTACCTACATACAATCGACTTTTTAATATGAGATTTTCTGGCAGCACTATAGTGATTGTTAATAATTGCATTCCCTGGTGTAAGAGAGCGTCAGTAGATGCAAAGGCAATAATGGAAAAATGATTGACTATTAGAATTGAAGGCATTAAGATTGTGGAAGGTTTACTCCCTAGCAAATGCAAACAAAGGTACGGAAACGGCAGATCCCAATGCACGCGATGATAAGATTGCATATTTTGCCTGAAAACTAGCAAGAACCGGTATTAGACTCGTACGTTACACATTTAAAACATTAAATTCAGTTGTATAAATTATCACATAAATATGCAATTGATAAAAAGAATAATTAAATATTAAGTTAATGCAGAGGTTGATTTATAAATTTTAGGTCCAGGAACACATCCCTAATAATTTATTAGAAATCTTCTTTGGCCCTGTTCTTCCATAGACGGAAATTAGGTGACCCATCTAGATGGCTTCCACAGTATTTATCTACAGATTATATCATGATTTTTTTTCTTGGGATGTTATAATCAGGGTAGTTCCCCGTTGTTTTCCCTTATTATTATTATTATTATTATTATTATTATTATTATTATTATTATTATTATTATTATAAATGGATTACGAGTTGATAGGATGATGGTGAGAGGTGATCGTGGGCTTTTTTTAACCATCCCAGCATTCGCCTTACGACGAAGGAAAACCACGAAAAACCCTGGTCAGGTTGGCCTGCCCGGGAATCGAACCTGGTGCACCCGACTGCGAAGTCGGCATGCTATGCACTTAGCCACGTCGCACAATTTAATGTAAATAGTTATATATTTATAATATAATTTAATAATTATAATTACACTTAACAACTAGTTCTACGTGAATGCTTGTATAATAATAAATATAAAATTAGAGTTTATAATGTTATTTTATTGTTTTTTACTTTCTCGTCTTACGAATTCTTCATAAGAAGATAAAGTTATGTAATTGTTTCGGCGGAAAACGACGAATTTTCGCCAAAAAAAGGTATTTTAGTCGGGCTCAGGTAACGAAAAAGTGAATAAACCCTGTTGCTAAATTTAGGGATAAAATCCTATAACACGTAGTGCAGCTTGTGTGTTGCAGTGATGTTTCAGAAAATGGTGTAGGTCTGATATTCGATGACATCATGGATTTTTCGAAAATTACAAAACACATTTTTTAAACTACAAAATATATGATGCAGGTTTTGGGTTCAGACAAAGTCTGTTGAACAAAATTACCTCTTTAAAAATGTCATGTTCAATTTTTTGAAAAAATGAGTCGTTTCTGCATAATTTGCGTTTGAAGTATCCGGAAAAAATCTCAAAAACAGCTCATTTTTTTTCCTTTAAAGTTTCTCTACATATGTAATAAGGGACGGAAAGAAATATGGTACTAGTTCCATTTTCGAGTATTGCTCAGTTTTTAGAAAATTCGAAATACGTTTCAAAACTACAAAATTGAAGATAGAGATTTTTGCCTCGGACAAAACCTGTTGCACAAAATTAGCTCTTTAAAAGAGGCCATGTACATTTTTTTGAAGAAAAAAAAAGAGTAGATTTTACACAATGTCTGGTTGAAATTCATGAAATATTTACAGGTTTCACACCAACTACGTTCCACGAAAAAAATTGAATGAATGATATGAAAAATAATTCCAGAAGTAATATTCAGGTGACTAATTTGTAATTTTTAGTAATTTGAGCGTTTCTTTCAGGGCCTAGAGACCATTCTATTTTCTAAGATAAAAAATGATTTATCTTGATGGATACGCGCGCTTCCGACTGCCGATTTTTATTTGTATTACAATATGTCAAATAAAATGAACCATTATATCACTCATTAACATTTATTGATTGCCTCTTTAGTTATTTATTTTTCGTATCTTTTAATTAAAGACAGGATTGGATAGATTAAATCAGAAACACGTCTCTTGAAAACGTATATATTTGGATTCCATGACCACATCTCTGTACTGCATCTAAAAACTCGTTTTCCGTTGCGTCAGAACGAAATATTTGGAGTTAATGATTAAATTAGAAATTATGAAGGAATTGAAGCTAGTGACTATCATTATGTTGTTTACGTCAGAATATTTTTTCGAGTTTATTTTTGTATTCAAAAAAGTAATGCTGCAGGACCAAGAAATTATTTGTCTGATACTACGTTTTTACGAATAGTAAAGTGATTAACAGTATATTAAAAAAATAATTGTTTGAAGCGATGAGAAAATAAAACATTTGTATAAGGTAATGAATTCGTTGTTTCGAATGCATTCATAATGGGATATAGTGGATGGCCTGTATTTCTAGATGTTCCATTTGTTTGTGAAATTATCCTTGCTTGATTGTATGAAGTACTGGAAATTTTAAAAAAATGTTTATAATACTGTTTTTTCAAAAAACTAACGTACGAACTTGGCAGTGAAGATGAAACGTTGAAATAATTGTGTATTCGTAATGTAATGTACTCGAAACAAGCAATAGCATTCCATAAAGAACGCCGTAGACCAACTTTCATAAAACGACAATAATGCAAACTGAAAAATAGTTCAATTTATCACAAAAAATGGTGCTTTTAACAAGAATTAATAAGAAAATATGTGCCCATTTTTGGCAGCTGTATCGTTGTATGCGCGCTTTGTTGTCAGAGCTCATTGACTGAGATGTGTTGACATAGACAGAAATGCGATATAAAATAAATCTTGCATAACCGTTGCTAAGGGGCGAGACAGACTGCGATTTTTTACACCACTAGTTTTTTATATTTCTGCCTGCCATGGATTGGAAGTTATTAATGGTTGAAAGGGTTCTCTTACATAAGATTTTCGAAGTTTTCTGGCAACTGACGAAATATACGAAGGATTTGCATTTAATCGCACAAGTGAATTCCGCTATAATCGTTGCAAATCTGCACTAGCGCTGCTACGCGGCCAACTTATGGAACAGGAGAGTGATCGGACTTTCTTTTTTTTTTTTGTACAGGCTGTCGATGAGCTCGAGCTACTAGCACAGTCAAATGGCGCTCAAAAGGGCAAACGGAAGAAAGTTTTGATGAAGTTTTCATATGTTTTCTCTGGGTAACCACTCATTTCCTAAAACAAATATCCCTGACTTTTCCGGTTTTCCAGAGCATTTTTTAAAAAAACATTTCTCTGATAAGAAGTGAAGAGTATTTCACACAGTTTAAAGAAAATATTAAACAAGCGTGAAACTAATTTGTCTGCTCTCTGATTTCGCCGCGATAAAGTACAAATTAAAAAAATATTCAACAGATAGAAATTGAGAAAGATAAACTTACAAATTTATAATGTACATTTTTTTAGGAATAATTTATACTTTTATAACTATTTCAAAATTTTCCCTGACTTCTAATGATTCTTCCTCAAAATCCCTAATTCTTTCCTGACTTTTCCAGAGCAATGAAATCCTCTTACCATTTCCGATTTTCCGTGTTTATCAGAAAGTGGCCACCCTGTTTCTTTGCTGCTTCGGAGTCGCAGAACACGAATAAAAGGTTTCTAAAAAGACGTTTGTTAGAAAACACATTTTTAAGCAACAAATGTAAAAATCACAGCTTAAGTTTAACACAAAACAAGCGGAACCGGGCAGACGTTCTGCCCTTCATATACCATTCTCTCTCCCTCTCATTCTCTCGTTCTCTCATTCTCTCATTCTCTCGTTCTCTCATTCTCTCGTTCTCTCATTCTCTCGTTCTCTCATTCTCTCATTCTCTCGTTCTCTCATTCTCTCATTCTCTCGTTCTCTCATTCTCTCATTCTCATTCTCGTTCTCTCATTTTCGTTCTCACATTCTTAATCTCGTTCTCTCATTTTCGTTCTCACATTCTTAATCTCATTCTCTCATTTTCGTTCTCACATTCTTAATCTCA